CAAATACAGTGCCTACAGATTTCTCTGCAATAGGATTATTGTGAGAGAGCTGGTAAATCATTGTTATTCTATGCTAGATACATTATGGAATGCCACCAGGGAGGAATAATGTGCTTTGGACATGAAAACTATGAGAAATTTCAAGATGCACAGTTATTAGATAGATTAGTTATTAGATAGAGCATCACTAGATGCGGCAACATAGAGTATAACAACTTGGTGAGATTCCAAAATCATTTTACTGTAATTAATTCTGATAAAAGAGTTAGCTCACAGGACCACAAACAAAAAGGTGCAATGAATTAAAAAAAGACCCAAACTTGAGCAGTTTTGAATAGTTGACTATTCATCTTCAGGAGATTAAAAAAGAAGAAAAGTCAATTATTTGAAAGCACTCAAGATATGTCATTCATTTTACTGTAATGTACTCAAACTTTGTAGAATATGTACAGAATTATTTGTATAAAGAAGAAGAAAAAAATAAAAACTTGAGATTAATTAAATTACTTAAAATGTTAGAGTCACTCTATATGTTACTCTTTAGGATTGTCATGTCTTTAATTTTTTGTTACAGGTAATCAAGTCTGAACGTCCTAATGGAATTTTACTGACATTTGGGGGTCAAACTGCTTTGAACTGTGGTATAGAACTCCAGAAGCGTGGTATCTTTGAAAAGTATAATGTTTGTGTTCTTGGTACACCATTATCATCAGTTATTAATTCTGAAGACCGGAAGTTGTTTGCAGAAATAGTTGCTGAAATTGGGGAGAAGGTCATCCCCAGCACAGCTGCTTACTCAGTTGATGAGGTAAGAAATTTAACCCACGTGTGTTGGATTGAAATGAAACATATTTAAGTGTATGTATTTTTAGTCAAAGATTTGACAATAATAATTTGATAAGTAAAATGAATGATTCACCTTTCTTTATACCAATAATTGATCTACTATATCTATGTTATATCTATATTATATGTGAAAATCAGTCATCAGTACGTTTAAAATTCTAATTCAGTGTTTGAAATAAAGGGTAGCATTTGTCAGACCAACAAAGAAATCTGGATAATGGAGGCATTTGTCAGACTACCATTAAAATCTGGAAAATGCAGACATTTTTAGATTGCCAAACCTGGAAGATGAATACCTTAGTCAGATCAATAAAGAAACTTGGAAGATGCAAAAGTTTTTCAGATCATTAAAAAAATCTGACATATGTCAGATCACCAAACAAGTCTGGAAGATTCAGACATTAGTAGCTCACCAAACAAATGTGAAAAATTCAAACAAACTAATATTGTTTATTAGCAAAGTTTCTAATGAAAATTGCTGTCAAAGTGTTTAAATGAAATTATTTATAATTGAAATATTTGTTTAAATGTTACATTATTTAATAATAATATTAAAACTTTGAAGCATTGGATGCATGAGTATCTGAGCTTAGATGTGGGGAGTGTAAGCATAACTGTTCAGTACATAATTCGTCACGTGGTTATTTAATGTCAGTTAAGTAAAGTATTAAGTTTATAAAGTGTGTAGTCTTGTTTCAGTCATTAGTAAACCTTTCAATCAGAGTGAGCAAGCCAGTTTAAGGTTAATTAATGATGTTATGTGTTACAATATCTTCAGTCAGATTTCTTGAAATGGTAAACAGTATAAGAAGTGTTTTAGTCCACTTGTTGCAGTTATATATATTTTTAACATTTTGTCATCCAAAACTTTATTGCTTTTGAAAATGATAAGGTAGTTGTTTTTTGTTATTTGTAGAGGATTTAAGTTTGATTTAAGATCTATCTTCTGATGTGATATCTTACCTCTCACAAAAAGCTTTACTTGACTTATACTGCCCTATAATGGTGAAAATATTTGCTCGTCACTAGCCTTAATATTCCGACTTACCTTCATGTATGATAGTGTGAGATCTGCATGCTAACATGCTAATTATTATGCAGCAACCCTCCACCAATAGGAGTTTGACACTACCCCTATTGTTACTAGTGCCCTCTCTAAACCTGCAGCTGTTTTTTGCTCACAGTTTGATTGACTTATAAAAATGTTTTTTATTGTTTTTTAGGCCTTTCAACTTCTTTTCTAAATCAGTTACATTTGTTATATAATGTTTTGTTAATTCTGGTGGAGAATTAAGTATTATATTTTTTCTTTTCTTTCTTTTATCCTGCTTCACTTCCGAGAGTTTTACACTTGCAGTTTCGGGTGATCATGACTACAACTGCTGTTGTTCTTGCAGTGGATTTCCTGACCACATATAGGGGTCGGAACCAAGATTGTTGGCACATTCAGTGATGGCTTTGGTGCATCATGAATTGGTCAATTTTATGCTACATTCAGAACATGCTGAGGATTGTCATATTATACCTGCTCAAGGTTTGGTTGATTGGGAAGAAGTGGATTTGGACAGCCTTTTTTTCTCACTCCTGAATGTCTCTCTCAGTCGTGTTTAATTTCAGGGGTATTTCCCAGGCCTTCTTTGCCTTTTGTGGGATTGATTATTCAGATATGTTATGTTCTGCCCTTCTCTTCTGTTTCCTATGGTTCCATCCCAGCCCTTTTCGGGGACAAGCCTTTCAGTTGAAATTTATTGTTTCATTCTTCCCTGAATATTGGGGTTAATACGAGTCATTTGTGAGGGCAAATGCATTTATGGTCATTATGCCTTGATCCCCATGTACTATGATGATTTGATTTTTACATTCTTCCCAGAATATTGGGGTTCATGCGAGTCATTTTGGGTCATTGTGCCTTGACCCCCATGTACTATGATGATTTTCCTTTCACTTCTCATCTTTCTGACTTGGAGTCTTTTATCCCTTTGGAGGGATTGAACCCCAATTTTTCGGCTTCCTATTCCCTTTTAATTTCCAGCTTCTTGGGCTTTAGAAACTTGCCATCAGAACACTGTCAGGTGTCATTTTCAGGGCAACCAGTATCTGTGACTATGTTTTCGGGTCAAGGCAGACTCCTTTAATTTATCCACGTCTGGAGGCCCTTTGCTGTGGATACTTGGACTTTGACAGTTGTATCAGAGGGTCTGGTTCTTCCATCCATGGGATCCAATTTCTTGCTAGCTCCTTTTGGAGGTGGTTGGAGACTTCCTTCATAAGTGTGGCATTGAATGAGATGGCCCTTCTCGTCTGTTTGTTGTTCCCCACAAAACAGGGGATTGGTGATTGGCACGTGGTCATCAGTTTATCCACTTCTTAAATCCTTCCCAAGTTCGCCATGGAGTTGTCTTTAGCTCTTCGTTGGTGTTTAACTCCTGGTTTCTGGATGACAAAGGTTGATGTGTCAGGTGCATACCTCTATCTTCTCTTATCCCATGTATCCAATTTGTATCTTCACTTTGCTCATCAAGTGTGTGTGTGTGTTTCACTCTCATGCACTTTTGTTTGGACTTGCCTCAGCACCCTATGGGTTCTGTCAAGTTGTCTGGGTATTTTCTCACCTGATTCATGTCAGGGTTTTTTGTTTCCACCATTATATGGTCAACTGGCTACTTTGGGCCTCCTTATGTGAAGAATTTGCCATACTTTCTCAATTTCTTCTCCAGAAAGATGCCATGGTTGTTAGGCTTGTCAAGGTGGAGAAATCTTTTCTTACATCCATGAATATATTTTAGCTCATCTCGGGGTCTTTTCTCAACTCCATGATCAATCGGGCCAAACCTTCTCCCCTTTGGATGAGGGCTATGGAATGTCTTGAATGCAGCATCTCCTCTTCTTCTCCAACTCTGCGAGAGGGTCTCTCTCTTTTGGGATGTGGTCTTCTCTGGAAGCCCTCATTCCTCTTGGTTGCTCCCACATTCGTTAACTTCAGTGGTTTTTTTAGACTAATAGAGCCTTGTTTGGGATCTCTTAGATGCCACTCTCACCCTTCCCCCTTCTAGACGGACTTTACCTGGTAGTTAGATTTGGACAACACTACAGTGGATGTTCCTCCCTCCTCGTTGTCCAGATTGTCACCTTTTTACGAATGCTTATTTTTCATGGGGACATATCTCAACACTCAGGAGGTTTTGAGGAGATGGACTCTTTACGAGTCCTCTCTCCATATGGTTATTGGATCTCGTGGAAGTTCTTTGAGCTTTACTTCACTTTGTGTGAGGTCTACAGTGCTGATTGGTAATGGTACACTAGCAATTCTACAGTCGTCTCACATGTGTCCAGGCTAGGTGGCACTCAGTTGAAAGCCCTCTGTTTTGAAACATTGGATCTCTTATATTGGGCCCACAGCCATGACGTCACTTTGTTAGTTTATCTTCTTGTCGTGGATCTGTTATCCTGTCCTGATAAAGTTCTGCCTGTGGAATGGTTTTTGTATCCTCCAATTGTTTGGGGGTTGTGTTGTCAGTGGAGTATCCCAGATTTGGATGCTTTTGCCACTATTTCAATACACAGCTTCCACAATTTTAGTCACCAGTTCCTCATCTTTTGGCTGGGGCAGTAGAAAATTTGGTCTAACTGAAAATAATGTGAGACATTGGCAGAAACAAAAGACTGAAGTCCTTAATGCACATTCTGCATACCTGACAAAAAGGACGTTATGATTCTCAATTTTTTTCTTTCCCATTGTTTATGAAAATGGTGGTCACCTTATATTCAAGATCGCCCTATAATCAGGGAATCTAAAATTATACTCCAGTTCCATATCAAGCTATAGTGTGTTTATGTTTAAGAAAATGTACAAAATTAAACATATAAATATTCTTTATAAAATCATCATTGCTCAGACAAACCATAATTTTTATAGCCTTCAATTTTGTTTGGTTACAGAGCTATCAAATAGAAAATCACACCCTCTCCTGCTACACCAACCTTTCACATCCACTCTTTCAAAATTCGTTGATAGTTCTCTCTTACATTTCATTATATATTACCTATAACCAATGGAAAGTCAAGGTTTTCATCTATCAAATGACATATGAGTTTAAAGCTACTTAGGATAAACAATTGTAGTGTCATGTTACAATTTGAAGTTATTCGAGAAAGAAAAAAAAGGTTGATTTAGGTTTATTTCAAATTGTTTTTGGTGGTTATGAAGTTGGTCAAAGTGACTGATCCCATTTTGAGATAGGGTAGAGAAAATAACATATAAGCTACAAGGATTTAGTGGAAAAAAAACGTTTGAAATCCATTTAGGAGGTTTTAGGGATTACACAAAGAAAATTTGAGATTTTTGAGATGACAAAAAATATTTTTAATTTTAACATGAAAATTACTTTTCACACTGACTATTCAAAAGAAATACTCAATATAATCATGGAGAAATCTTTATTTTATTTTATTAAAAATACTTCACTATGAAATATGACTTTTTGTATATGAAAGACTTGTAATATTAACTGAAAGACTGCCAAACTTTGTGAAGATATACACACTATATTGAGAGTTATAAGTATTAAATTTATAAAGACTTCAAACGAGTCTAAAAGGTCACATGACTCGGTCAAATTGACCGACTCTGTATTGAGAGAGTTAATGCAAGTAATGATTGCAATCAGGATTCATCCAGTTTATTGTAATAGATCAGAGTATTTTTTGGTCTGAATGCTTACTGAGGTATAAAAATTCTCCCATTTTCACTTAAGACTTGTTGAATGTAAACCTGTGAACCAGGGTAGAAAACTAAAATTGGTGTGATAATTACTCCAATAATAAACTATCATTTATCCAGAAATATGAAGTTCTTGTGGCAAATTTTCATGAATTAAAGTAAGCTGTGATATTATATTTCAGAATATTAATAATTGTTTACTCTGAAGCATGTTTTAGGAGTTTTCTATTTAATCAATGGGT